CACCACCCCCACCCCCCCGGGACAGACCATGAAGGCATCCCAAAGAATCGTCTGCGCCCTGGGGTCCGCCCGCTCGGGTACCACTCCTCGGGGTTGCCCTCCCTATCCTGCTTCCCCCCGGGCTGCGGCGCAGGGTCCTGGGGTGCCTGGAGGAGTCGCCCGCCTGCCCCAAGAGAGGAGGCGGCCCTGGCCTCCGGGCCGCCCTCCTGCAGCCGAGAACAAACGGGATATTCAGCAGTGGCCTGTGGCTGCCAGAGCAACTCCTCGGGGGAAATTAAGCGTCGAGTCAGACGGCACTGTAATCGCCTTAAAAGCGCCCCGCCCCGCCTGCCCGCCGCGCACACCCGGCTACCTGGGCTGCCCCGAGGAGCTGCCTTGGGCGGGAGATCCAGCGGGACCCAGTGAGTCGGCTTGAGCCGCCGTGTGCCCCTGGTGGGTGTGAGCCGGTGCTGAGGGTGCCCGAGTGCGCGCGGGGGGGTGGAGTCCCGAGCGCACACAGCAGCCATGAGAACGAGAGCCTGGGCCCCGCTCTGGTTGCTGCTGGCCGCCGCCGCCCAGCTGTCCCGGCAGCAGCCCCCGGAGAGGTAACGCGACCCCGTGCCGGCTCCCTCTCCCTGCACCTCTGCAGCTCACCCGCGGCGCGACTCCCTCCAACCGCCTTGCGGCGCCCGGACGAACCCGCGCGGGACCCTGCGCACCCCGGGGAGCGGGCAGCGGGCAGCGGGAGGGTGGGAGCTCCGCCCAGGACCGCGACCTCGCCCGCCGAGAGTCCCCCTCAGCGCCCTGGTTCGCCGCGTTCAGCCCTGCAGCCGGCCGGCCACCACGTGGCGGGGCTGAGACTGACTTGCTTCTACTCTCTCGGAAGGTTTATGAGGGCAGAGGGCAAGTCTCGATCTCCAGTATGTGAACTCCGCTTTACCGCTGTTTTCGTCCCCAGAGGCTTTACAGAGAGACGTAACCCTAGGGGGAAAGGAGTCGCTTAGTGCCCGGGGAGCTGCTGCACGAAGTTAACGCTTAGCAGTTCTTTGAGGGACGTGGACTTGGGGAGCGCCTGAAGTCCAGTTTTGGCATCTCTTCTAGCATGTCCACCTCCCTTTTCAACGAGATTTTCAGAAAAAGGGGTGGAGAACTAGGCACGTCTCCAAATCTGAGAATTTAAAAACTTTTTATATTAACCAGTTGCTGCCTGTCTTTAAAACCATGTCTAAAATCCTCACCTAGCTTCTCACCTTCTCTCTCACTTGCTCCAGTTAAATTGATCATTTATCATTTTCCTGCGTGACTTGAACACTTTGGGAGGGACTTGATTTCATATATACGTACATACATACATACAGAGTCTGCCAAAATAATGTATATATACTTCAGGAAAGGAAAAATAATAAATGTCTGGAAGCTAATGGGCACCACCTTGAGCACCTCTTGTAATTGTAGAGGCCAAAGGTAACTTGTATTAATCTCATAACGTCTCAGTAAATTTAATATTAAACTTTATACAAGTTTTTTTTCTTTTCCTGAAGTGTGTGTACATTTTTTGGCGGACTCTGTGTATATATAGCATCTAGCGACTTTTATGAGGCTATAATTTAAATATTCTAGGAGCTAGCAAGTTTTCAGATATTTTACCTGGTTGAAGCATGTATTTTGTTTATTTATTTCGGTATTAGGGATTGAACCCAGAGCCTTGCACTTGGTGGGAGGAGCTGGGATTATAGGAATAGGTCACCAACCCAGGCTGGCACAAGCATTTATTAAACACTATTAACTCCTATCCATACTAATTTGTTCACCTTTCTGAAGTTAACATTGATTTATTAGGTCGTTTCAAATTAAGTATCTTTTCTTCTTTTATTTTCCCAGACCTGTTTTCAGATGTGGTGGCATTCTTACTGGAGAGTCTGGATTTATTGGCAGTGAAGGTTTTCCTGGAGTATACCCTCCAAATAGTAAATGCACTTGGAAAATCACAGTAAGCATTTTTTAAAAAGGGATTCTCCTGGAAGTGGGTATTGGAAACAGTTCAAGGCTACTGCCTTTAATCCTATAGTGACAGAATTTGAGTTAGAGACAAATGCCTGAATAAATGAAATGTTGGATTGACTTCAAGTATTTGGGAGATTTTTATTAAGAGATGTAGTGGTGTTCTGCATTCGCAATTAGAAGGGACTCAAGATAGTACTTGAAGGAATAAATTCTTAAACCAGATGTATTTCTGAAAACCCAGCTTGACTCATTTGAGTTTTATGGATTCATAATTAAGGCTATTTTCACTCAAAGGGCTGTTGTAGTGACCTTTGGAAGTCAGTTGTTGCTCAGGCCTGCATAAATTCCCAGTGGGAAATGAAAGATCAAAGATAGTGCTTTGACTACTTCATACCTATTAGGAAAAGAAAACAAGGAGGGAGAAAATTCTGCACTTAATGTCCCTGGGTAAAAACCGCCATTACATGAGGGCTGGGGGAAGAGTAATGGCAAGGGCTAGTAAAATGCCCAGGCTGCTTAGTAATGGTTAGATTATTTTGAGTCAAGATTAGAAGCTGGATTTAGAGACAACTTTTTTTTTTAAAAGTCTGGGTTTAGAATCAGCTAGATTGAATCATCCTTCCAGTTAGTGTAGCAAACACTGCTGTTTTCATTTTTTGTTGTTGTAGGGAAGGTGTTTGATAATTGAAAACATTGGTTCACTGAGAGCTTCATTTAGTCAGGTTGTGCCACCCTTAGATTATGATTTTAAAAAGTAGCTACCTCTGACTGAGCCAACTAGCATTTATTGTACCAAGTAATCAACAAGAATAATCTCACTGAATCCTCAGACCCATTCTGAAAAAGTATTAGTATCCCCATTTTATAAAAAGAGCAGCTGAAACCTAAAACAATTCTAGGTATTGATTTGATCAAGCTCAACTTTATATAAAGTGAAACTTGTTCTAATTGGAGGGTGTTGGAGAGTGTTTCCAGGAAGCACTTTCCTTGACAGAGAAGCACTTTGCCTTAGGAGAAGTTATCTCATTCTGCGTGGATGCGGAGGAAATGTTTGGATGTTCCAGTTGAACATAATGTGAAATTGCAGGCTTTGTGCTTTTCACCAGAATCCTAGGCCAGAGCCTGACTCTGGAGGTCCCAATGATATAGGGCACCAAATAATCCAAATAATGTCAATAACCCAAATAAGGGAAATATAGCACCCAACCTTCCAAGATGCCCAGTTCATGTTCTCTAAAATCAAAGAATGAATTCTAGGAACAACAGAGGTCAAAAGTAGGAAATTTTTTTGTTTGTTTAAATTCTTTTATTGGTACATTTTAGGTATACAGTACATCTATATTTATCAAAGGGTGCTTGTACCTTTACATAATGTATCTTGGTTCTTATTTTTTCCCCATTCCCTGTGCTCTCTTCACCCTTTCCACCCTTCCCTACTTACAAAGACTTTATTTCCATTTTTTTCTTTTCTCATAATTTTTCTTTTCCCTTTTTTCCTTTCCCCTTTGCCCCCACTTCCCCTTCCCCTTTGCCCTTTTTCTTCTTACTTCAAATTATCAATTATTTGTTTTAATCATTTTAATCCTTACTTACACTTTCAGTTTCTCACTGAGGAGAAATGACCCATTAAAAGAACAGGCCAGAAGAACAAGATGGAGTCAGTCAAGGATAATGACTGGATTCTTCTTTAAATCCCCAATTTTAAAGATCAACTAGCTCAGCAGTGAGACTTTGTTGGAATCAAATTCTCCTTTCATCTCTCATAAACTCTGCAACTAGGATTTACCTTTTTTAAGCCTCAGGGTTTGTTGTGAAGAAAAAATGAGATAGCATATGTAAAGCCCTGCACTTTGGTGCCTGACAAGGGAAGAAGTTTGATTAGCTACAAGAACATATCAAGGAGGCCAATGTGGCTGGAACAGAATGACTTAGGGGACAGTGGGAAGAGTGGAAGTAAAAAAATATGATCAGAAGCCTGTAGGCCAGGATGAGGAGTTTGATTTTTGTTCTGAGTAGGAAGCCATCAGAAGATTTTAAGCAGAAGAATGAGATTATCTAATTTTAAAAGAGCATCCTGGCTGCTGTATGGAGGATGAATTATAGGGAATTAAGAATGGAAGCAGGCTTGAGACCATACTCTTAAGTGAAAAAAAAAATAGGACACACGTGTTTAAATACCACAGTTTTTCTGGTATGAGAAACCAAAAGTGGAAATAAGGACTAAAATGTGTGATAGATATTGAGAAATGGGAAGGAAATGTTCAAATGAGAAGAGGAACAAGGGATGGAGAAGGGGAAAGGAAAGAAAGGACAAGAAATAAAAGGAAGACTAAAAGGAAAATGGAAATTATGCTTTTGTAAATAAGGAGGGAAAGAGGCATTGGGGAGGGGATGAGAAAAAAGGAAGGAAGACATATCATGTACAGGTAAAATTCCCTGTGATGAATGTTATCATTATGTATATATAAAATGTACCAATAAATGTTTTGCCTCCAAAAAAAAAAAAAGAATGGAAACAGGGAGATGGATTAGAAAGTTGTGAAGCATAGTATATAGAAGAAGATGGTGGAATAATTAGGGTGGTAACAAAGAAGAGGAACAAGCGTGCAGTTTCCTATCTTAAGTGTTTTCTCAGCAGAGCTGCAGGCAGTTGGAGTAGAGGCATTGGCTGAGATGTCAATGCCCCAAGACCTGGCCCCTTGCACAGCCGCAGTTCCCTACAGGGCTGTGCTCTGCTAGAGCCTTACCCAAGGTAGACTATGAAGATTTTCTTCTTTTTTTATTTTATTAGTTTTTATTAGTACATATGTTATGGTTTGTATCTAGATATTCCCCCAAAATCTCATGTGCTCATAGGTGCGGCTTTTCACAGCTGGCTGGATCTAGGGTATATGGTACTTGAATTAAGAGTGTATGGTACTAAATTATTCCTCTGATTGGTTTGGCATAGTTCTCTGAGTATGAATAATGGAAGGCCCACCCCGGGTGCAGGTGGAACCACCCAAAAGGCTCGTAGCTTAGATGGAATAAAATGGAAAGAAAGAAGTTTGGGGATTTAGCTCAGTGGTTCCAGTACCTGCCTCACAAGCCCAGGGTCCCAAGTTTGATCCCTGGTACCAAAAATAAAAAATAAAAATGGAAAGGCTTGCTTTGCTGTACTTGCTGCTACCTGCCTGCTCTGCCGTGGACTGTTTCTCCTCTGCCATGCTGCCCTTGGGGCCAGTTGACTATGGACTAAAACCTCTATAAACTGCATGCTAAAATAAACCTCTCCTCCTTCAACTTGTGAGTGGTAGATATTGTGTCTCAGTGATGAGAAACGTAATTAAGACAGATTTTGATAACAGGAGTATGGTTGTTGGTGTGACCATGTGGTTCGGGAACCTTTGGAACTTGGCTTGTAGGAAAAATTTAGAATGATTTGGAGATTCCAGCTGAAGAAATAATGCTGAAATGCTGTAAGCCAAACTTGATAGGAGATTCTGGTTGAAATTCAGAAGACCAAAATGTTGACTGCAATGTAGCTGGAAAAGACCAACTTTAAGAGGTATCAATTGGAAAGAAAGATTCCATTGGCAGTTGAACTCCAAACCATATGTGTTATGCTCTAACTGAAAATTTGTCTTCATTTTGCTCTTGTCCAGAGCCTTTGCCCAAGACTGAGATTGAGGGCACTGGGCTAATTAATCTGGCAGAAGAAATTTCAAGGCAGTCTGATGTTAAAGCTCTGGCCTGGCTACTGTTTGAGGCTTGTAGCCAGATTTATGTTGAGAATCAAGAGCAAACAGCCCATCAGAATGATTTAAAACATTTTGAGTTTAGCCAGAAAGGAAGCTCTTTAAAGTTGCAGCCTGCAAAGAAGGAGCAGAGGAGAACTTGGTTGCTGAGAAGGAACAGGACAATAGGAAAGATGACCTGAGAATATCACAAGAACCAGCAGGACTCCACCTCTTGCAGCCTCAAAATTGCAAAGGTGAAAGACTGGGCTTTGAGAGTCCCAGAGTACCATGTTCCAGAATGGTGGCAGCCTAGAGAATTTGTTCCTCAGGATTGGGTTCACAACACTCAGCAATCCAGGCACTGGACTCCTACAGCCAAGACAGAAGGAAGCCCAGCTACTGAACCAGCTGGCAGCAGACCTTCATATTATCCACATGATGCTGGTTTTAAGAACATGCAGAAAGTAAGAGATGTGGGGTCAGAAAGGCATCCACCCAGATTTCAGAAGAAGGTATGAGAGCCCAGGCAGTGTGAGAGGGCAGTGTGAATCTGTGAGTGTGAAGCTGAAGGTGCAGTGGAGAACCCAGAAGATTAGAGAAGCCAGAAATGTGGATCATCTAAGGAAAACGGCAAGAAGTGAGCAGAACTGGCCCAAGAAAGAAGCTGTGAAGAGCTGCAACCACTGAAGATCCCATAACAGCAAAGCCACCAAACATATTTGGAGTTTACATCTTGTTACGAATTTCCCTGGATGCTTCACATGGAAGTATGGGACTTAATGTTTGTCCTGCTGGATTTTGGACTTGCTTTGATCCCATTCCTTTCTATCCCCCTATTTGTACCTTTGGGAATGGGAATGTTTATCTTGTGCCATTGTATGTTGGAAGTGTTTAACTTTGTTTTCATTTGTACAGGGACTTGCAGCTAAGAGTTTGCCTTAAATCTCAGAGGAGACTTTGAACTTGAACTTTTCAGCAATGCTGAAACTGCTAGGACTTTGGCATCTCTTACAGATAGACTAAATGCATTTTGTATAAAGGAATGCACATGAGTCTTTTGGGAGCCAGGGGTAGACTGTTATGGCTTGCATCTGGATGTCCCCTCAAAGCTTCATGTACTCATAGGTAGGGCTTTTCAGACCTGGCTGGATCTAAGGTGTGTGATACTGGGATTAAAGATGTATGGTACTAAGTCATTCCACTGATTGGTTTAGCATAGTTCTCGGTATGGATAATGGTAGCCCCACTCTGGGTGGAATGAAAGAGA